AGTAAGTAATGGCGGAGTTCGAGACGGAGGGAAAGAGTATGGAGGTTGGTTAAGAACAAAAAGGAATCTAAGGATGCAAAAGCAGAGAGGTCAGTTGGTGTTCTAATGAATGAGGCCAAGATACTTTTAAGACAGAGAAATTAATTAGATCTAGTTTAACAGTTGAAGGTTAGAGGGTCAAGGAGTGAACTATTTATTGTCAGTTACTCGTGGCCGTAGTAGACTTTTCCATGCATGGCTCAATGGATCTCCTCCCCTCCCTTCCCCCAACCCGCACACCCCACACCTTTCTACACAGGACACAGATAATATCTTTCAACACGCACACACACACACACACACACACACACACACACACACACACACACACACACATACACACTCAAGAATCCCCCGTTGTACACTTTCACCCCACCCTGCTTTATATTACCACCTACACACATACATCACAACAAAAAAAGCAAAACAAAAGCAAAATTTATAACGAAACAAAACATAAAAAACAACAAAAGACAAAAAACAAAAACAAAACAAAAAAACAGGAGGTAAGACGTGAGGTGCATACACTTAAAAAGCAACCATGATACCGCGTGTGTGTTCTGTCACATGAGAAGGCGGCGAGCGAACCCGGGCATTGTGTTTACAAATATCACGACATGATGGAATCAGGCGCTCGTCAATTTTTGGACGTATTGAGTCATGAATATACATGTAATCTTAAATCTTGTTCATTTGCCTTGCATTCAATGAAAAAAATTACCCATGTATCTTCAATAGAAGTGGAGATATTTTGGATTGAAACGGGTGGGGAGAATATGGTTTTAAAGGTATAATTAGTGAGAAAATCTCAGCCAAAGCTTGGTAACTTCCAAAGTTGGAGAGTCCATGGAAACTGTAAATTTCCATTTTGGTGCCTTTAATCAACGTTTTCTTCACAAAGCTCACAGGAATTTGTTTCTAAATGGACATGAAAAGTGTTGAGCCAAAAAACAAAATTTGATAACAATTGGCTAGCGGGAAGAAAAATGCTGCTTTCATCGATTTCGTTATTTTGACGAGCGCCTGATTTCACCACGATGAATATGGACTGAATTGTTTGTGTGGATTTTTGTATTGCTTGCCAGATCTAGAGGTA